CATGTTTACTGAGTGTCAGCTCAAGTTTGTTTTGGCATTATACTGGTAAAAAGCAGTTAACAACAAAGGAAAAGAAAACAATTTTCTTATCTTTTCAGTCCAAAACCTTTTCCTTGTGATGAGTTTGAAAGGGTAAACAATCCTTTAGGATACGCTGCAGGAGAAGACATAAAAAAGATCAAGTTCCTGTGCTTCTGGCTGGGTTAGTTTTATCTTATTTACGCTGTTTTTAAGCGTATCCTTGCACACTGATATTCTTCAAACTTTATTTTAATAGTTGGGTCCTGCTGATGTTTTCATACCCTGCTCTGATCATTTTCTCAATATCCTTCAAGGGGCCAGATTAGAATTTGGTGCTGTATTGTAATTCTAACAATTTAGAACAAAGTAGTTAATCTTTTCCTCTATCCAAAACCCAAAATGCAGCACTGAGCAAAGGCTTCATTGATGGCAGGGAATGTTAAAACTTCTGTACAGTAGTGAAATGGGCAGAGAGTAACTTTTTTTCCCTTTCCTCACCTCACCAAATCCCAAGTTTACAAGCAGCTGCTGTACATTGTAAACATGGGGATTTTTTGTTAGTGGCTTATTTTGAGGTTTAGAAAGATACTTTTTTGTCTGGATGGGGGAAATATGATATATGATAGAGCAACTCATAATCTATTCATCAAATATGAATTAAGAACTACACGTTTCTTCTCCAGCAAGGCATAAAGTATTTTAGAATCACATGCTGCTGTTGAAATTACAGTTTGCCTTTCTCCAAAGAGCCTTAATGCTGGGTCGTTTATAGTATGGCTTATTGGGCCAAATTCAAATGATACTTAAACGATGTTGTAAAATGCAAATGAAGCATTAGAGGGGAAATGGCATACCTGCATACAGTCACCCATCATTGTCTTAAGAGTTCTATCAATGAGACAAGAGAGGGAGCTTATAGGTCAAAGAGCAATTAATATTAAACAACTATTTGAGGGAGAATTAGTGTTCAGCTTTCATATGAAAGAAGTTCATATTAGGAAGCTGCTCATATTGCATCATGTGTTGCTTTTGCTGATGTGACATTTCCTAATTTTTTCCAAAAAGCCAGTCTGCCTTTTCCTTCCATTTGTCTTCTTATTGTTCAAAGATATTTGCAAGGTGTACATGCTGACTAAAAGGCAGGAGCATCTGTGTTTTCTCCACTTGTTTTACTTGGATTGAGCAGAGGATGTGACTAATCAGAAATGTACTGAAGGTATTTTCCCAGAGCAGCTGCAAAAAACTCTGCATCTCTGATGTGCTGCTCAGACAGCAAAGAGGCTGCTCTAACTTTGGCCACGTTCAGCAAAAATGTGTCACAAATTTGGATCAGCCCCTCTGTGCTGACTGACCATCTGGCAAGAGTGGAGAGATACTATTTTTAACCAGATTTAATGTTGTTGGTTTTCTTCATCATAAAATCCTATGATTAGCCATCTAGAATAAGTAATTTGTGTGACTGTGCTTGTCTGTGAGAAACCTACAAACTGCAGACATATTAGCAGATATGTTCCGTTCGTTAATATTACAGTCCCACTATGATCTCATTATACTACACTGTGACACCTGCTTTCCATAGACTGTGGACTGATTGTTTTAGACTATGTGCCTGGCAGCAGCACCTATCTATCTAAAAATGCATGGCCCCCATCCATCAAAATATGATAAAATAAAATTCTACAAGCAATGAAATTTAAAAGAAATATTGTATTCCTGTGTTTCTGCTCTGCACATTGAATGAGTGACATAGAGAATTCTGTTTTGTGGGCAGATGGCAAAGCAGTGAAAATGAGATTTTGGAAACTGCATATTAGGATTTCGAAAACCAACAAGAAAAAAGTCTTATTTACCAGCGTTCTTAGATAACACGTGGACCAATTTTCAAGCCCAGCTGTTTTTACCAAGATATTTATGCCTGAATTATTGGCGACAGAACTGAACCCAACAAAAGGCTCTACTGGATGCTAGTGGGTCAGTGAATTTCAGGAGCGACGCTGGACTGTGGTTTTGTGCCCCAATTAAGTTGCTTCTCCCCCTCAGTCCTGGTATTATCTTTTTCTAGGACTTTGAATGTTTCGTGGAAACATTCTTGTAACCTAATTGGGCACCTGCTTGTTCCTCTCCTATTGTTGATCTGCTTCAGCTGCTATGGCGCTCTATTTCTTGATTTCGAGGAGCATTGTAAGCAGAACAACACTTTGTTACTATACAGCACAGCTGTGAGGGGTGCAGAATAAGAAGAATGATACTTGACACTCCCTTAAACAACAGGATTGCACTGACCAAACTCTTATTATGCAGAGCTGACCCTGAATTCAGCAGAAACAGCAACTACACAGCAAATAAATATGTTCTGGAGACTGACATCAGAAATACTTCATTTTAAAACTCACACATAATTAAAGAATAGTTTTACAGTGGCTCAGCAGATGGATATTCATTAAATATCTGAGCCTTAAACTAGAATAAATTTAGATACAGTAACTTATTTCTCTAGTAATATATTAGCTCACAGTCTTAGACTGAATTTCTTCACAGCCTGTTTGAGCTAGAGATATTGCCAATAAAAATCAACTGAATCTTTTGGACATAGTTTAAGAAATTACTCTTACAGCAGGGAAATAAAGTCAATAGCTAGTAACTTACTGCAGCCATATAGACCTTAAGCAACGATTTCGTGTAGTTTGTACCGTGCAAAGAAACACCTGAGCTGTGGTTCAGCACTTAATCTACTCATTCTGTGGTGAAGGCGGTAACTTTCAGCAGAAAGTAGCTACTGGTAGCCAAAACGTCTTTTGTTTCCTTAGTGACATTTACCAGAGCTCTTGGTGGGTATCCTAAGTATGCAAATGCACAGCTGATTTAGCTCTGAGTTCTTGTTAAACTGTAATAATTTCATTATATTCAGTCATATCTCAGTCCTTCTGCTAGATGAGAATCTAACTCCATATCCAAAGACCTCTCTATTGGAGCTTTCATGAATTTCAGTAGGTATTGCAGGGCAGGAAGGCTTGAATGTATCTATTTTATACTTCACACATGAGTTCAGAAATGGAAGAAAGGAGTTTAGTGAGGTAGAGGATATTTGTCAGATGCATTCTTCAGCTGATGTTCTTGAATGATAACTCAAACAAGCTGGCACAAATAAAATTTTTTGAGGTCATGGGTTTGAACTTTTAATTATTGCACAAATTATATATATGCATATGTGTGTATATGTGCATATATGTGTGTAAGCAGTGAAAAGGTCACTGAAGCCTTTGCTGACAAACCATCACATAAGACATACTCAGCTCTAAGTTTTGAAAGCTCCATCCAGTGTTGCCTGTTGTAACACATGCAATATTACCTTCAAACTGAAGAAGCACATGCAGAAATCAAGGCAGATATACCAGTAGAATTAAGGTTATTGGAATTCTTTTGCATCACTTTTGTGATCAATTAAAAAGAATATTTGAATGAACAAATTTTTTTTTTTTTGTATTTAAACTATTTCAGACTGTGACTGGTTGTCTGCAAGTAAAGGGCATGAAAAACTCATGCTAACTATAATGTGGACAAACATTAGCCTCAGTTAAACACAGAATCAGAGAATCATTTGGACTCGTTGATCCCGAATGTGTCTGGATGAGTACAAGCCAGCATGGCTGGAGGGACAGTCCTAAGAAACTGCATGATGCTATTAAATTAAAGATCAAGGGCAAGATATGAGCTGAGGAATCTAAAATTTTTCCAGCTAGGACTTGTGCTATGGCCTCTACTAGGCTTATAACTTGACTTGTCTTTAGATTATCTATGGACATTTAATATCATAGAAAAGGGCTCCAATAATCATAATCCCTCTGCACATATCTTACTTTTTGCATGCTCAGTTCACCTGTTAGAAGCTGCTGTTCCACATACAAGATAACAGACATTGTCAGCATAAATCTTTAAAAACTTTATGAAGAATGTGCATGAGGGCTTTGGTCTATTGTTTCAAAGAAATGAAAAGAATAGGAAATTAAATAATCACAATAGTTGTTTATTACTTTGAAAAGAACAAAGTGCAGATTCTTCCATGGAAGAAAAACCAAAGGCAAATGTGGATTTGCAACCTTATGCTCAAACATCTGAGGTATGTTTTGTTTCACTTTGTTGTGTTACCACTGTATAAAAGAGGGCACCGCAACATGAAAAACAGAGAACACAAGGAAGCAATTCTTTCCTGCTGTTTCCACTTTGTGTGATTCTTCTGACACCTTTGTTGAAGACCAAATGTCTGGTGTGACTTTAGTCAGGATTCCTCTCAAACACCTTGCTAAAGCATTTGCAGTGTTCTGTTGCTGTTTGCTGCTTACATGCAAGTTTAACTAAAATTAAAAAAAAATTAAGCAACTGCTATCCTCTTGTGTTTCATCTTGTGTTTCACCTGATCAGTTGCAGAAAGTGTGGTCTCCATGCTGTTTGTAGAAATAGAAGTCTTACCCTCAGGTGTTATGCTCTCTCACACTTCTGGCAAACCCCTGCTGGACTTTGCACTGTTACATTTTTGAGTAATATTTGGAGAAAACAGTAAAAAACAAGTGAGGTAATTATTTACCACAAATCTATTATGCACAGTTCTGTCATTCTGGAGTCAGCTGCCTTCTGGCCAGTCCAAGTCAACCTCCTGTTACAGGGCTGGGTCACTGCCCCCATGGCCAAGCTCACCCTCACCCAGGCTACAAGTCAGTGCTATCCCACCATAGCCATTGGGTGGGTTCCTGGGATGCTCTGCTAGAAGATCCATTTCTTCCTACCTTCTCACCCTACCAGGGTTGGCCCTTGGGAGGCAGAGGAGGTGTTTTGTTGTGGGCACAGCACGAAGGGCTGGCTTTGGGAGCAGGGATCCTGGCGGAGGCAGTTAGGTGGAGCGAGTTTTCCTGCAATTGTAGGGGACATTTTCCTGTTGTGTTTCTTTGTGACTGTCTCGCAGTTGCAGACGCAGTCAGTGCTGCCACAGGATTGCTGGGAAGGTGGTGTCTCCTAGCTGCCTGTCCCAGCTGGACTGCTGGTGATTTCTGAGAGGGTCAGCGTGGTCCTTGTCTCCGCAACAATGTGTCACCCAGAAGATACAGGGCGGGATCCAATGGTGGGTATGGGGCTGGGTGGCTTTGTGGGACTGGAGCGGATGCATATGTGTAGGCTTGCAATTGCAAGTAATTTAGGAAGTATTTTATAATGTGTTTAGCAGTCATAGGGAGGAGTTGAGGTTTGCTCTGTTGCTGTCATGAATTATCTCTTTGGTACTGAAAACTCTGGAAAAAATGGAACATTTTTAGCAAAGATTATTTTTCATCTTGTTTTCAAAGAAGAGCTTATTGTCTTGTTAGCTGTTATAAAACCAGCAAGAGAGATAAAGGGACATTAGCATCTGCATACTGTTAACAACATCTGGAACACTAATTCTCTTTTTAAAATAACAGATGAAGGCTGAGATACATGTTTACATGAGAAAAATGTAAAAAAATACGGTAATTTCCTGAAGCCTGCTACACTTCTTGGGCAAAGTGGGCAAAGTCTTTCAAATTCCATTTATTTATTTGTAACTGATGAAGTTATATAACTTAAGGCAGTGACGTGCTTCAAGTCTGATGACCAAGAGATGCTGTTTTTTCAAAGGATGTACTTTTGGCACCACTATGGTCAGAGTGATGACCTGGTCACTACAGTTATTTTATATGCAAGTTCTATATCCACAAAAGGCCTCAAAATGCTGCACACATTTAGGATAAACAGTATGTATAGTCCACAATAGCATGGAATTTATAATGTGAATTTCCCAGTAAAATAGTTCAAGATGAGCAATTTTGTAAGAATAGGACAAGCTGGTATTCAGTGAAGTTTTAAAGTAGATATTTAAGTAGAAGAAAAAGGGGGAGACTGCAGATGCATACCAGTAACTCTTTCAAAAAGTCCTACTCTAGTTACTACAGTAAAACTGACCTGCTTGCCAGCTGACAGGAAATGTACAATTTATTATAATTTTTTTGAGATAAACCGTGAAACTTTTTATGTCATTGATGAAGAACGTCTCAAAGGGATGTAATTAAGCTATTGTTTTCTCTTTCCATGCTATCTTAAAAGCTACTAAGCTATTTTTTGAGTGACATTGAGAACCTTTTACTTGAGAGGCCTTTTTGGGGTACTGATACAGTTATTCAGAAGCAATTGCTCATTTTAGTTGCTTTTTCCTATTCCCTTTTGGGATGTTCTGAAGATTATCTGCAGGATGATTACTTTGAGTATATCAATTAAACTACTAAGTGGTCCAACCAATCTCGTAAGTAGTCCTGGATCCTTTTCCTGTGCCCAAGTGTGAGTGCATATATGTGTGTATATGTTGCCAGAGCAAAGGCATAGCTGGGTAGTAAAAAAGCATTTTCCACTCATTTCATGAGGCTACTCAGCATGGCCTTTCCCAGGATCAGGATCGCCTTGAATACAGAGGAGGTGTACAAATCAAACACCACACGTATCTCAGGGCTGAAGGGAACTGGGACTCTAAGGAACAAAGGCACTGTGTAGTGGTAGCTCAGAAAGACAACATTTCCCTCAGCAGAGTGAGCTTAAATTTGATACTGGGTCTTCTGGCTGTTGTACAGCAACAATGCAGGCTGCAAATTACATTGCAGCCTTTTACTGCTCTTAATTTCTTAGCTTGAAGTAATGAAGTTTTGCCACAGTGTGGTTATCAAAAACATATGAGGCAAGATTACATGGCTGTGGATAATGATTGGTTTTGTCTCAGGTCTTTAAAAAGCCTTTAAAGGATAACATTCTTAAAGGGTGTAAATGCATAGATGAAAATATTTGAGATCACCAGGGTTTATTGTGGTATGTTTCTGCTAAGTAACACTTTCTCAAGGAATAAAATATGTGTGGGCATGCCCCTGGTAAATAAAAGCTTAGAAAGTCCTCAAAAGAGATGAAGTGCAAAACTGTCACTTTCTTAGTATTTGTCTTTATTTGCAAAGAATAGAGATTAAGATTTAGCATCTCATTGTGAGTAAGGTAGGGATGGTAAGTCACTGCACAGGTTGGGTTGGGATACCAAAATTTTGAGCATCTTAGGGGCAGAACAACCACAACTTGGTAACCCTCACATGCAATTCTGTACTTCTTTCACTTCTCAGTTGATTTTGCAGTTTTCATTTTGTGTTCTCTTGTGTCAGGGTTAGATTTTTTAATCATGCGTTATTTTATGCATTGCCCTAACCATTTTGGGTTATTTGGGTTAATGCTGCCATTTGGTAAAGCCTAACAAGCTTTAAGGAGAGGACTAGCAAAGTATTTACTACACTCCTTAGTACTGTAAGTGGGAGAAACTTAACCCTTTGAAGCCTGTTAGAGAACTGCAGTAGGATAGCAGGATGGACAAGGATGAACAGTTGGAAGGACAAGGGTGTTGCAGCTGGTTCATGATCTACATGGAGGAAACAGGAAGGCAAACTACTTTTTTAAATCCCCTATGAATAAAATACAGAAGCTGAAGTTGGGTGTGTCACGTCAAGCAGGCTGGTCTTGAGACTTACTAAAGACCCTATTTCATCTAGTTCTCAGGAACTGTCCATGTGCCCTTCACATGCAGCAGGGACCAGACCTACCCAAATCCAGAAAAGTCCCCGCTCAGTGATGTCAACTGGAAACAGGTTGCTTCTCCTGTGACACAATTCAGTTTTCTGTATCTCCCCAGCAACGCCAGTTGGACAGGAAATGTCCTACTCCTCTCAGAGCAGGCCTCAAGATCTGGTGAGGGCCTGTGTGAGGATTCTGCTTCCAAATGGAGGAGTAGTCCTGCTGGTTCTCATTTTATTATTCCTGGTTCCAGGGAGCCTGAGCTGAATGTTTCCTACACCATTGACAAAGGTTTTTGTCAGAGGTTTAAAACAGATAACCTTCAGAGCACAGATATAATTTGTTCCTTATTCTTCATGTTCCGGGTTTCACAGCTAATTTCCCCTTTAATGACCTAATTAAAATCTTGATTTTTAAATACATCATTGATCTTAGAGAGTTCAGTGTACTGAGAAGCAGGCATAAATTAGAAGGAACTCTTCGATGTTAAACAGTTGGGGGCTTTTTGCAGTCACCAAAATCTTCTTATATTTTCTGCAAATCTGAAGAATATAACTGAGAAAGTGTGTTTGTTTTTTTAAAGGAGTAAAAAATCTTTAATAGACTTTTTTAATGTTCACATATGAGTACCAGAGAACAGGACAGTGAGAGGTTAATGCTGCATGTCGTGTAATGAGATTCTAAATACAAAGAGCTTTAGTTCATAAAAAATACATCTTATAGGTAGTTTAAGCTAAGTCCTGTGTGGTGGGTGAATTCACACCCTCATACCTGTAGCAGTTCCTGGGACATTTCTTACCTTTATTTTAGATGTTCTTTTTGATAAGAAAGCAGACCATGGTGTTCTTCCTTGTGAACTTATAATGTCATTGCCTAAGTGGTGGCAATGATTATGAATTTAAGTAGCATTCACAGTTCCTCTTACTTAACTATGGGGAAGGAATTTGCAGAACAACTTGGTGGAAAGAGAATGCAGTAATTTCTTTCAACCACCTTAAGATCTCCTGAAAACTTTCTGTAGCTTAATGGCCCCAGTGTTTCCAACCTGCACTACATTCTGTATCCATGTGTGTGAACTCATGTGACTAGAAGGACTGTGCTGGAACACATAGGGTATTTCTGTTACTGTATCATCTGTGCTAAAGATCAGGGTGTACTATGTCACCTAAGGCATTACACAATTAAAATTCTCAGCTGGGGAAGTATGAGAGATTTCCACCTCTACTGTGCAACCAAAGCCCTATGAAAGCTGGTGGGTTTGGGTGAGTAAAATTATTTTACCTTCCTTTTATTGCAGAGTGGCATCTATCCTCTAGGAATCTCTTAGCTTGAAATGAGTGAGGAAAAAAAATGGTGTGGTATATAGCAATTTGTCCCCTTTGGTAACATTTTGAGGTTGCTCCTGTTGTTGTTTCCCATTCAGACCAAGACGTGAACCCAATTCCTCCACATTTTTTCTTACATAGCTATGATATACCCCAGAATAAATATCAGTTTCTCAAATGAAGAGTGTGGATTTAGTTGAAGAGGTTTTTAGAACAGACCTTTAGCCATAAATTTAATAGAAGGTCACTGCTGACGCCAGTAGACCTATGCTGATTCACATGTGCTAAAGATTAGACAATCCATTGCTTTTCTTCCCCTAAAGAATTTTGAGGAAATATTAAATCTTCTATCTAAAGAATGTAAAGCTACAGGAGTTGCAAGAATATAAAAAAATGGAGGTCAAAATGCGTTCTAAGTGTATAGTAGTGCACATGTGTAATATTGTACTTAATATATTACTATAGATAATATTAAATCAACAATTCCTTGATTGCTTTGGGATTTACAGGACATGGTATTTTTTCCTAGCTTTTGAGCTTTTTCTCTTAGCTTTTGAACCTTAGTTATTGTTTTAGCTCCCATGAGAAGGAATATGTGATGTTGTGCCAAAGACCTTAATTCTGGGAGATGTTCTTGTCTCATAACAAGATTCAGTTTTTTTTAAAATATATTCTCCTACTACCATACATTTCAACCAGAAACGGATATTGTTGAGGCTTTATATCACTGCAAACAGCATAGAAGATGTGCTTTTGATGTATTGATGTAGTTTAAATGTTGCAAACAACTATCCACAACATCATTGAAACACTGCATGCAACTTCTGGACAAGGCAGCTAATCATTCTTCTGTCAATGGAAATGTATGAATAGGATGACCTAATAATTTTCTTTATACTGAACATTTGGTTTTGCATATCAGGAAATGTTGAACAGACACTATCCTTTGAATATTTATTAATTTGCTCTGCTTTGAGAAAAACCAGTGGTAAAACAAGTAATTGTTTGCTTCAGGGCGTGTGCAGCTTGCTTGCTTTCATGTTGTAGAAGTTTTCATCAGACATTTCTAAAGAAAAAAATCTGAGGTTTGGTTATTAATTATTTTGGTCTACTAACACAAACTACACTATTTACATAAATATATCACTGGCTGTGCTGCTAGTGATTACTAGCATCATAAGTACTCACA